ATCACATCCTTCGTCTCCCTAGAGAGATGTCTGTGTGTGTGTGGTTTCATCACAGCCTTCGTCTCCCTAGAAAGTTGTCTGTGTGTGGTTTCATCACAACCTTCGTCTCCCTAGAGCTGTGTGTGGTTTCATCACAGCCTTCATCTCCCTAGAGAGATGTCTGTGTGTGTGTGGTTTCATCACAACCTTCGTCTCCCTAGAGAGATGTCTGTGTGTGTGGTTTCATCACAACCTTCGTCTCCCTAGAAAGTTGTCTGTGTGTGGTTTCATCACAACCTTCGTCTCCCTAGAGCTGTGTGTGGTTTCATCACAGCCTTCATCTCCCTAGAGAGATGTCTGTGTGTGTGTGGTTTCATCACAACCTTCGTCTCCCTAGAGAGATGTCTGTGTGTGGTTTCATCACAGCCTTCGTCTCCCTTGAGAGATGTCTGTGTGTGTGTGGTTTCATCACAACCTTCGTCTCCCTAGAGAGGTGTCTGTGTGTGGTTTCATCACAGCCTTCGTCTCCCTAGAGAGATGTCTGTGTGTGGTTTTATCACAACCTTCGTCTCCCTAGAGCTGTGTGTGGTTTCATCACAGCCTTCATCTCCCTAGAGAGATGTCTGTGTGTGGTTTCATCACAACCTTAGTCTCCCTAGAGTGATGTCTGTGTGTGGTGGCGCCGTTGAAGGTGAAGCGAATCATGACGCCACACGTAGCCTTGTGGTCAATGTTCTCATCTTGACCGTGACGCTGCTGGACATGTTCCCCATGTACTACACGGCGTACCTCGACTTTTGACCCCGGCCTCAACAGGACGATGGTGGGGATGGTGTTCAGACAGAACCCGTACTTCGTCTACGCCATCTCCTACTTCATCACCGACCTCTTCATCCCTTACTTTACTTTCTTCGTCATCATCACCAGCACCGTTATTATAGGGATCAGACTCAGCAATCTGTGTCAAAGGTCACCAATGCCGACAACGTCTCCACTAAGGAGAAGAAGGTTGTGGTCATGTTGGTCACCGTGACCTTGATCTTCATCGTCTGCCTCCTCCCCCAGTCCGCCTTCCTGACGGCCACAAGTTTCTTGCCCGGGTTGGTGTTTTCGGGACGAACTCTGACCCCTCGTTCCTGTGTTACTCTGAACTCTGACCTCTCGTTCCTGTGTTACTCTGAACTCTGACCTCTCGTTCCTGTGTTACTCTGAACTCTGACCCCTCGTTCCTTTGTTACTCTGACCTCTCGTTCCTGTGTTACTCTGACCTCTCGTTCCTGTGTTACTCTGAACTTTGACCTCTCGTTCCTGTGTTACTCTGACCTCTCGTTCCTGTGTTACTCTGACCTCTCGTTCCTTTGTTACTCTGAACTCTGACCTCTCGTCCCTGTGTTACTGTGAATTCTGACCCCTCGTTCCTTGTTACTATGAACTCTGACCCCTCGTTCCTGTGTTACTCTGAACTCTAACCTCTCGTTCCTGTGTTACTCTGAACTCTGACCCCTCGTTCCTGTGTTACTCTGAACTCTGAACTCTCGTTCCTGTGTTACTCTGAACTCTGACCTCTCGTTCCTGTGTTACTCTGAACTCTTAGCTCTCATTCCTGTGTTACTCTGAACTTTGACCTCTCGTTCCTGTGTTACTCTGACCTCTCGTTCCTGTGTTACTCTGAACTCTGACCTCTCGTTCCTGTGTTACTCTGAACTCTGACCTCTCGTTCCTGTGTTACTCTGAACTCTGACCTCTCGTTCCTGTGATACTCTGAACTCTGACCTCTCGTTCCTGTGTTACTCTGAACTCTGACCTGTCGTTCCTGTGTTACTCTGAACTGTGACTTCTGGTTCCTGTGTTACTCTGAACTCTGACCTCTCGTACCTGAGTTACTCTGAACTCTGACCTCTCGTTCCTGTGTTACTCTGAACTCTGACCTCTCGTTCCTGTGTTACTCTGACCTCTCGTTCCTGTGTTACTCTGAACTCTGACCTCTCGTTCTTGTGTTACTCTGAACTCTGACCCCTCGTTCCTGTGTTACTCTGAACTCTGACCTCTCGTTCCTGTGTTACTCTGAACTCTGACCTCTCGTTCCTGTGTTACTCTGAACTCTTACCTCTCATTCCTGTGTTACTCTGAACTTTGACCTCTCGTTCCTGTGTTACTCTGACCTCTCGTTCCTGTGTTACTCTGAACTCTGACCTCTCGTTCCTGTGTTACTCTGAACTCTGACCTCTCGTTCCTGTGTTACTCTGAACTCTGACCTCTCGTTCCTGTGTTACTCTGAACTCTGACCTCTCGTTCCTGTGTTACTCTGAACTCTGACCTCTCGTTCTTGTGTTACTCTGAACTGTGACTTCTGGTTCCTGTGTTACTCTGAACTCTGACCTCTCGTACCTGAGTTACTCTGAACTCTGACCTCTCGTTCCTGTGTTACTCTGAACTCTGACCTCTCGTTCCTGTGTTACTCTGACCTCTCGTTCCTGTGTTACTCTGAACTCTGACCTCTCGTTCGTGTGTTACTCTGAACTCTGACCTCTCGTTCCTGTGTTACTGCATGTGTTACCTGGCAGAGACCGTCTCGTCGTCTGTCAACATCGTCGCGTACTACCGCATGAGCGGCAGGTACAGGGAGACTTTTGTCAGCGTGCCGGGATTCAGGAGGTCCAAGTTAGCACTTGTTAAGAGGGTGGCGCTGTGATTGTAACGGATAAAAGTGGACTGTACTCAGCTGTAACCTTACTATTAGAAACTGAATTAACTACATTTAATTATAATGTATTTATCTATAGTCACTTGAATAATAAACGTATAGTGGTTAATTATTTAGTTTAAACTAATCTTAATAAAATGTACCACAAACACTTAAGAAAGAAAAGTTATTACAAGCATTACTTTAATACAAATATATTATTTGACCAATTATTTTTTAATTAACTCTTATCTTCAGTTGATTACAGGAATATGGGAGACTGATTAGATTAGTTTAAAAAAAACATGCATTTTGATATAAATACTCAATTCTCTCATCTTCTTTTCCTTTTTGTGCCCACGAATAATGGGGTGGCCACAAAAAGCTCCCTTCACTTTTGTTGGTCACCGGCAATTTTCGAGGCAGTCCCACACGAAAGTCTTATCTCTGCCATATGCTTCCCCTTATCCATTGGCAGAGAAGGCCTAATACTCAACAGACTAGGCTAATTTTATAATGTCGTTAGGAGAAAAAACAAGAACATCAAATTAAATTCATCTATAGATAGGGTATGGAACCTCACAGCAATATTTTGATTTATACAAGTACATAACATTCAAATAATCTAACGTTTGGTTACAACATATTTACGCGGAATGGGAATAGAACTGTTAGCAGAGTGATGATTTTTTTTAATCCGTGACTAACTGGTGACATCAACGGCCGAAAGAGTTGTGTATATACACACCTAATAATATTACTCTATGTGCTTTAGATTATTTCCAAAATACAATCGAATGTGATAATTCTGTAAAATAACAATCAATATTTCACGTGCAAAATGTATCCACCACATCCACGAAGAACATGTTTGTACAGTTTTCAAATGTAAGTTATCCAAAGAAGTGTATGCACCGTTTTATTAATATTACTTCTACTTAGTATCTAGTTGAAAACACATTTTTAGTATCCTTTAATGTCAAAATCGACAGGATTATGCCAATTAAATGCGTCATTAAAAATAAACTAATATCTTCTTACACAATCATCCAACCATACAAACACAACACACACACATACAACAAATTTTATATATGTGTTACTATATATAGGTTTAAAAATATAATATAATATTTATATATATATATATATATATATATATATATATATATATATATATATATATATATATATATATATATATATATATATTGCGAGTGTGTGTTTTTATGTATGCTTATATCTTAGTGTATAAAACAAAAAGAAAACTAACACGTGGTACGTTTTATCATCAAATCTATAAACAGGATTTCTACATGAAGTAACTGTCCAAGTGTCACGTGAATTATATAACATAATCTGTCTCGTTTTCTCTCGAAAGGCTCTTGGATCAGCCATTCACATGTGGTACATCACACATTTGTCTGGAAAGCTCTTGTCAGCGGCCTATGTCCGAGGACGGCGACAGGCCAACCTAACTTTACCTAAACAACACACTTTCACCCAGCTCTAGGTCAAGAGTTAGTGGTCAGTTGCTCTACAAGCTCTAGTGTTTACTGTTTTATTTTGTGAGAGTCTGAATCTTTTTCGATTAAAAAAAAAGTTATGTTTCTGTTTTTTTTTTAAGTATTAAGATAATTCTTCAGCATCATTTCTCGTTCTTTCCCAAGACACATGGGTCAGATGAAGTAGAATTAATCTGCTTTAGAGAGCTCAGCATATGAAGGAATAGTGTAGACAGCACTATTCCCAGCCGCCTGTGTTTCCCAAACGCAGGTACCCATCAGTGCTGTGCGGACTTAGGGACGTTCCATTGATTTGAACTAGGATTCCCACTAAGTTTATTCCGGATTGGAACTCGAGACTCGGTTCTAACAGTCTAGCTCTCTAACGCTAGGCCACACCGTACCCATTGACGGTTAGTTACTAATTGTCCATTGTGTTTAGTCGCATAAAAATATGAAGAAAACAAAATATATTTTGATACTTTAAAAACATAATTTTAGAACAAAAAACATCACAGTAATTGAAATAAGATATTTACTGAACATTATCATAAATACGTGAGTAGTGCTGACCACACTCATTCTTTATATGCCCCGGTGAACCCTATTTAATTTGAACCATCTTCAGCTAGGTTCAGAAGTGTAGCTTACCTTTCTCGAAGAAAAAACATAAAGATATGCGTGTTGCATAAAATTAATAATGCAATGCAGTTTCTGATCCAATATTCCTAATCTTATTATACGAACGCCTGCGTTAAATCAAGTTGATCTGGCCCAACCATTTTTATTACTACCACGGGCCAGCTTTGAATATTCATCCCCTGATTTAGAAACGAGGACTGTGTTATATAAACAGTGACTAGACCTCATGTGATCACAAGACACTTTCAAGACATCCAGTTTACAATTCTTGTGCTGCCTAATATACCCTGTGGTGAGTTAGTTTAACATTTCATACATGTAGTCATTAACGCCGAAAACTTGACTGATATTGTTTATATTTTTAATGATTTTGTGTTGTTTAACTAAAATTCCTCTTTAGAACTAGAAATCCATTGGGCAGATGGAGTAGAGTTTATGTTTCTTGACCTCAGCATAAAAAGGGATGGTGTTGTCAGGACTATGTTTAGCGGCCTTTACTTGTCCCAACTCAAGTCAGGTACTCATCAAAGCTGGGTAGACTCAGGGACGACCTACAGCTTCTGAACCGAGATGCGAACTTAGGCATATAAAATCTAGACATAATCTACGTCAAATATGTTTCGTTGTAGAGAGGAATATACGTAAGCAATTAAATGAAAAGCGATTTTTTTTTTCAGTCAGGGTATTGCAGCATTTGTTAACCATGGGACCATTTAAATAGCGTGTTAGTCTGTCAAACTTTGTAAAACATGACAAAGTAACATTTATTTTTCAATTGTAATGAATATATATCTTTTCCCACTAAACATTGTGTATTTATGAACCCTTATTTGTATGTTTCTCCCCAGAAAATGAAATCTGTATGTGTGGTCTTCATGTTCCTGTTCCTCTCTGCTGTCTTTGCTGACCAGAGAGCCGCTGGACCACAGGACGTTGACCAGCCGGTAGAAAGAAATCTGGATACCAGACAAGTTCTGGAATGTGATACCTACACTCTACCACCAAACTATCCCCCCTCTCTGTACAAGTGTCGTCCCCGTTTATAAATGAGAGTGTTGTCAAATATCTAATCCGTCAATGTCAAAACTTTGATTAAAATAAACATTTAAAATGCAATTTCAATCGTACTTTAATTAATTTGCAGAAAAAAAAATCAGATTTAAAAAAAAAGAAATGAATATTTTAAGTACTTTATTTCATAGTTAAAATTGTAATAACTGTATAGGTACACCACCACAAGCAGAAAACAATTCTTAATTTTTACCTCAGACATGTAGTTTACAGTTTTAGTATTACAGTTTTCATCATCGGCTTGTATGGACTAATACAGATTTACAATAGTAATTCTTCTTTCTGATAAATACATTCATTAAACCGTTTTATTTATATATAATACAAACTTCCAATTTTTATTTTAAACCTGAAAATTTAAATATTTAACTAACAGGTGATTCAATGTTCTGTTGAGATTTCGAATGGGTTTAGGATAGTTAGTTGCGATCATTTTGTTAATCAGCAGAGCACGATGATCGACACGAAGCAGAGTTTCTTCCAGGTATCTCTTCGGGGGGGGGGTCAAAGCCCACCCCCCCCCCCCCCCCCAAAAAAAATTGTATCGCCCCCCCCCCCCCGAACGAATTGAAATTTATATAATTTATATAGAAAATATATACTTTTAACAGTGTCCGCCCCCCCCCCCCCTGAAGAAAGACAACCGCCCCCCCCCCCCCCCGAAAATTTCAAGTTCCCCCCCCCCAAGAGAAAAATATCTGAAAGAAACACTGACATGAAGTTCAATAAATCAAGGTCATAATTTATGCCGTATTTTACCCACCCCCCCCCCCCCCCCCCATTCCTTTCAACAAAATACGGTGCTTCATGCGATGAAAGAAATTCCCACATAGTGGAAACATGTGTGTTACGGCCAAACGCTGGGCAACAGCACTACTTCAGCAGTTGATCGCATACCAGTTTATAGAAATGAAGATCGAGATAGGTTCGTAATTTACGAGACGTTAAAGCTCTGTGACGGTTCGTATCGTTTAAGCTTAAGAAATAACCTAGCTACCTTAACGTTTCCGATTTTCCCTATATTGATCATTCTACACTACAAGAAAATCACTCACTTCGTGCCACCCCTATTTCTTTATATAGAGTTAAAAACCGAGTGTTAGGGTGCATCGGGTGGTATTTAAACAAAACAGCTTTACTTTCTTTTTTTGCGTTCGTTGTCGGCTACAATTTGGTAAATCAATAGTTCATTCATAGGGTAACAGGGTATACAGGCAGGTAGATATTTAGACCTACTTTTTTGAATGAGCGCTGAGGTTTGCATCTTAGACAGTAGTTGTAATTTAATGAAACCATATAAATGCCAGCCAAATTACTATGTACGTTATTACTATCAAATGAAACCTGATTCTTAAAAAGATATTAAACAATGACTGCTATTTGAGTCATGATGGGAACTTTCAAATGACGGACATTGAACCTATAAGAACATGTACCTATTCTTCTTCTTCTTCGTTCTTAATTTTTAGTGTTGGGAGGGATCGAGCCTTATCTGCCAGAGGGTTTGAACTCGAGACTTTTTTCGAATTTGTCAACCATGAGCTTTGCTGACTCAACCATGCTTCCATCACAATTAAGGATTACGTGTCAACTTGTTATGCGCCATTGAAGCCATTAACTCCGATTTCAGCCTGCTTTTCTTTATGGATTAGCTTCCAAGAACAAACTAAAAGGCATAAGTTGTTTGATTTTGGAGTTGCCTCTCCTAGAAGAGTGTCTGTCCCCAGCTAACGAGCCTAATCTGCCCGAGGGTTTGAACTGGAGACTTTTCGGTTTAGCAACCATGAGCTTTACCGACTCGACCACGCCGACCCCTACATGTACCTATTAACTATACTTAAATTTAGCGGTAAGTATGTGAGCCCCAACTCTCAATCCCTTAAGTCTGTGAACTTCAAATCTCAATTCCTCAAGTCTGCGAGCCCCTAATCTCAATCCCTTAAGTCTGCTTTAAACTGTGCTCAGATATAATACTAACGATTTTTTTTATCTATAGTCGGTTATAAATACAGCGTGATGTATCATGTTTTCTCTATCATTAGCAGGTTAACGTCGTGGTGTCACCCCCCCCCCCCCCCCCACCCTTCCACCATTTACGGGATTTGTCAAATTTGCTCTTAAAAGACTATTAACATTCTAATTGACCACTTATTTTAGTGTAATTATCATTTTTCTGTATATATTTAGTTATTTTTTGCCTTGGTGTCACCCCACTAAATGGTTTCTGTGGTAGATTGAAATACTGACGACAGAAACCATGCTGTTTGTATATAGAACGTTTATTTCAGCCTCAGCTACATGATGGAAACAGGAACAGGAAACGAGACATAAACATATATATTAACAAGGGACATCACTCAAAATAACATTATAAATATAAGACTAATACAAAAAGAGTGAGTTTCCTTGACTTCACAATTCTCAATATATTACATCCCTTTACCCTTAGTAAACAACAACACATTTCTCAATAGAACAAATTATTGTATCTTAAAATCACCAAATATATTGCAACATGAACATTATATGATTTGAATCATTTGGTAGATTACACCCTTACAAACAATGCATAATATGCCACAGCATAATTAAAATACAAACAATGATGTCAAAGTCCTTTTGACCTTTAAAATCATAGGTCTAACTTATCTGGGACTTTGATTGTCCTGTTTGACCTTCTCAGTGGCTTTTGATTTGGTGACTCAAGATTCTGACCATCTGGATTCTCTATCTCAGGAAGTCTAGGATCTAAATCATTAATTCCAGAATTTACATTTTCTGTCTCTAGACTACTTGGTTCACTCATATCAACAGAACTTGGTTGTGGAACAAACTGAGTTGGTGTGAACTGTTCAGATTTGGTGGGATTGATAGATTCGCACTTATTATCTGCACAAGTTATTTTTAACTGGTCTGCATGTCTACGGACAATAAGTCCATCATTTGTTTTTACTTTATAAGACACAGGTCCTGTACATTGAACAATTTGACCTGGCATCCATTTTTCCCCTTCTCCCATAATTTCTCAGATACACATTATCATTAACTCCAAATTCTCTTTCCATGGATGTTTTGTCATGATTTACTTTTTGTATATGTTGATGTTGGGAAACAGACCTTTGAACAGTTGGATGTAGTAGGTCAAGATGAGTTTTAATTTTCCTACCACATAGCAATTCGCATGGTGCAGCAACTGTTGTTATATCATCATATATAAATCTTAAATGATCATTCACTGACTCTTCAGGCCAACCATTCTTACAGTACTCATATACTTTTATCAAGCACTCATCTTTTTGTGTTTCTCTTTTAACATCATTCACATTTATATTGGAGTTATCCATGATAGTGAAAAGAACAAATACATCTTCAGGTACATAACTAAGGCTATGGTTATTTAAAAATAAACGACTAAGACTATCTGCACTATTCTCAGATCCAGGTTTGTATTTCAGTTCATAATGGTATGCAGTTAGTGTGATAGCCCATCTTTGAATTCTTGGTGAGGCATGCTCAGGCAGAGGTTTGTTTTCCCCAAACAAACCTAGCAATGGTTTATGATCTGTAAAGATGGTGAACTCCCTACCAAACAGAAACTTGTGAAATTTCTTAACACCAAAAATGATGCCTAAGCCTTCCCTATCTAACTGAGAATAATTTTTCTCAGCCTGGTTCAAAGATCTACTGGCAAAAGCAATGTGTCTGTCACCATTTTAATCTATGTGGGATAATACTGCTCCTACACCATCTGGTGAAGCATCACATGTTAAGATAAGTCTTTTCCCTGGGTCATAGTGTGTTAGTAAGGTGTCAGATGACAAAGCTTCTTTTGCTGTATTAAAAGCAGCATCTTGTTGTTTACCCCAGTGCCAAGTTGCATTTTTCTGTAGCAGCTTGTACAGTGGTGATAGTTTACCAGACAGATTCCCTATGAACTTCGCATAGTAATTTATCAAGCCTAAAAAAGCTCTTAGTTGTTGGGTATTTTCAGGTTTGGGTGCTTCTTTAATGGCTTTTGTTTTCTCAGGTTGAGGTCTTAGACCTTGCTTGCTTAAGTTGGCAGTATCACCCAGACATTTGAAAATTGACGAAAAAATTTGCCAAAAAAAAACTATTATACATACACACATACATTTTTTACCATAATAGTAAATATCAAGGAGCTATAAAACAACACATTAAAAAAGTTAACGTATGATGCAAACATATTTTTAAAATAATTTTACCAAAAAAATGTTACTAAGTAATTTTTAGCTGCGGTTTTCCAACATTTAAGCCCTTCCTGCTGAAAATACTCTAGGAGATGCATAACAGGGTAGCCTATGTCTGAAACTAGGAGATATTCATTGTGACAAATTTTAAAAATTTTAGAATTTTTTAAAATTCAGACCAAGAAATTGAACTTTGGAAAAATTTTTTTTTTTTTTTTTTTAAATTTTTTATTAATACTTTTATTTGCAATTAAAACAAGTACATCAACATCACATTTTTTTACATAGTTTCTGAAGAAAGCGAAAGGTTATGAAAATGTACAAAATGAATATTTAACTGATATCATGTATTTGGTTATAAGAAAAATTTACAAAGGATGACAGTAAAAGGGGTGAAGGTCAAATAAAAGTGTCAAAATTTTGGGTGGGGAGTGGAAAGAAAATTTTTCAGAGAATGTCAATGGGACAGTGGAGCATTTTCTATGTGGGGAAACAAATTAAGTTGACTAGTTAAAAGAGTGTTTATTTATGCACTGGTCGCATTGAGTTTTCAAAAGGTTGCTGTGTGAAAGGTGAGGGGAAAGAAACAAGATTTAGAACTTTAAATAAGTAAATGAATGGATATTCAAAATTGATGTTGGGTTCGGTGGTGGGGTCGTTGGAACAGTTAAAGGGAAAGTGGGGTTTTCATGTCTGAGGGTAAGTGGATAGAGGGGGAGAGGGGGAGGGGGTAGATGTGCCTGACGAGGCGTGGAGAGGGTGTGTGTGTGTTTTTAATGCAAGCCAAGCGTCAAATTATGTGCTGTGTTATCTGACTGCTGAGGTGTTACCATT